CGGTACCTTAAAGCATTATTCACCTTTCAAATTGTGCATTTTAATTCTTAGATTATTAGTTGCTGCTTGGAAACTTACCTTCATGGGCATAGAAAGGCAAATTTTACTTTCATAGAAATTGGAAACATTTCAAACAATCGTACAAATAATGATACAATTAAAATATTTTTGTAGGAGTAAGATATCTTAAATAAAATGAACAAATTCAATTTCCTCAAAGAAGTACAAAATTTTAAAATTAAAATTAATAAATAAGACCGCAAAATAAATAAAATAAATAATAAATAAAATGAAATAAATAAGACCGCATTTAAAGTTAGATTTCACTATCTATCGAATTTTTTATTTATTTATTTTTTTTAATTTACAATTGCCAAACATGAATATTTTCGTCTTAAAATACTTCTGTAACTAGAAGTATATGAGTACGACCAAGGATAACGAAAATAAAGGCTGACTAAGGACTTTAAAACCGCGTAAAGGGATGGGTATGTATATGTTACCGTGAAAGATCGAAATTGCAGAATGTCAACTTTCACCGAACAATGTCAACATTCACCAAATACATCGGTGAATGATCGAATATTTCTTTACATTCTTGTACATTCGGACTCTCACCGGTGTATGTCGACAATCACAGATATTCTCTGGTGTAGGTCGAAAAGAGAGGAGTATATGTACACGCTGCCATTCCGAAAGGAAGTGTTCCACAAATAAATGCAGTTGTAAAAGCAAGGGCCTCTTGTGCAATTCAAAGTGTCTTAATAGTTCAAGTTGTTGCAATAAATAAGATTTGAATCACATAATTTGGTAAGTTTATAACTTCTATTATTTCCTTTCTCATTTTGAATGTACTGTGTGTTTTAAGTTCTTATTCTGAATCTCAAGTGCGTTTTTTCGCGAATGAATTACGGAGAAGGAAATATAATATTCTTATATGTTCAACATTCACAATTAGTACATGGTGAATGTCGACATTCACCGGTATAAGTCAGAAATAAGAGTATTTGGAAAATATTTCGGACATACACCAAGCGACTATGTGAATGTTGACATTCACCGGTGAAAGTCGACATTCTCCAGATTTCGGTGTTTCACCATAACATATATAGTACATGTGATGATGATATAGTTCATTGCAGATAATTTGTATTATAGGAGTGCTTAAGTAGGAAGACACCAATTATTTTGCAGTCGCGAGTGGACTGAAGTTAACAAGATTAGTGAAATATCAATTACTTAGTCGGGAACTTTTGAAGAATTATAAAATTGCTTGATAATACAATCATATCTTTACTACTTGTTGATTACTATACTCTACCCTACTCTATTACTGCTCTTATAGAATGACATATCGTCAATAACTCGTTGCAAATTCGTAACTGCTAAATTCGGGGCAGTCCGCACCCCGCCATTGTAATTAGACGTATTACATTTTCAATAAGGAAGAGAAGCAGAGATAACATTGAAATATTATAAATAAATAATAAAATACTAAAATTTCTGGCTTAAAATTAGAATATTATTATCAATAAATTATAAAACACTAAAACTACTTCATAGAGGTGCAAAATTTTATTTAATGTTAAAGTTAAAATTACATAAGTTAAAATTTATATAGTATTAGAAACGCTGTTGTTAAATTACTAATTTTTTGCTTTCACTAATGGTAATTTGCGCAAACTTCTTGATGTTAACTGTAACTCCCCTCTTTTGATGCCGAGTAAAGAAAAAAACCACAAAATTAACTTCATGTTTTGAAAAATTTTTGAAATAAAGTTTGAAAAAGATTAACACTTTTGATGATCATACTGAAATCAACCCATTTTATAACGCACTAAAATGAACCAGTTGTTAAATAAATTATTTATAATATAATTGCGATTGGGAAAGTAAAAGCGAAAGATTTTTTGCGCATCCAAACTTGAACCTTTAAATCTTTGTAATAGTTTGGAAGGTTGGCAAACTGAATCTTTGAAACGATTCATTAAATCACATTATTATAAAAGGGTACTTGATTAATTTTGAACAGTTTGTATAAGGCTGCATTTTTAAGCACTCGCAGTAAATCTATGACATGAACGTTTTTTTCACTTTTTCATATTAGTGTTGAATTTTATTGCACTTATTAAATCACCAATTATGCTGGATTACATTAAACAAGCGAAAGAGCCGACTGAAACTTTAGGCAGGCAATGCGTCGATTTCAGATGAATTTTACAGTAATAGTAGTACACTTAGCTGTAATAATATTGTAGAAACGCTGATAGCGTGAGTACTTAAATCCATAGTGAAGAGCAACTTGGCAGCCGATGCAGAGCAAATATTCATTTTTATTTCGGTAAACATGTTGCGGCCACAAACAACTTGGCACTCTAATTCGTGCCTGTTTCTAAACTGTTTACATATTGGATAGCTTTGCGGTCAGAAGGGAAGCAGCAATCAGAATGAGTTAGTTTCAGTGTTCACTGCTTTTGATTGGATAATTAATAATGCTATCAAATTATTATTGGCTTTTAGTTCCATTCACATCACCAGTATTATGTAAGAGTCATATGACATAGATTGGTCTCGAAATGACGCAGTGCAGAAAAAAGATTATTATTTGTAGAATAGAGAGTGAAAATAAAGAAATTAAAACTAAGCAATAAGAGGTTATTGCTAATTCAAATTATAATTTATAATTACATATTTTTTTATCTTTCTTACATATATAACTTTAAGTCAAAGAAACTCGACTGACGACTCCACACTCGGAAAAGAGGTCAAAAAAGGTGCTTACTCTATTTGAAGTTAAACTGAGTACCTATGTGTTTACTGCATAAAACAAATGAAGAACCTAATCAATAATGTAATTCAAAATTTCAAGAGTTAAATATTTCCTGAGCATGTAAGGACAGTTAGCTGCAGACCCTAACATGATATTATCATACAATCGAGGTTAGAGTATTTAAATAACATAAAACAAATAAAGGCAATTTAATTAAGGAGAAAAATGCCTTCGTGGAGGGCTTTCCAAGGGGAACTAGCTCGTATTCACGTTACACACGGGGAAAACCAAGAAAACTAACCATACAGCCAGCTCGTTTGCTTAAGTTCGAACGACTAGTATTCAGCTGTCTTACTCAGATGCTACTTCCTGCAAACAGGAATGTTATAAAGCTTACAATTTATCGTAATTAAGTGGTAAATTAGGGATGGATAGGGCGAGTCTGATCTTCGCGTCCAATTTGCATAAAAATTGCTGGCACTTTACTTTAAATGCCCGTTGAATACACAGCTGTTCACAATACTCTTAGGAATTTCAGCTTATATAATGAAGAATGAAGTTTTCATTAAGATGCTAGAACGCCCACATGAAAGTCTTTATCTTGGTGAAGAGTCGTCGACTTGCTTAAAGATGCCGGCACTTTTATGACAAAGCATCGTTATAAAGCCGGAATGGCTAGACATGAAAATCCTTACTATGGCGTAAAGAATTACATCCAGCAGTTATGAATTTGCAACGAGTTAATGACGCTAAATTTAGTATGCTTGCCATTAATTTATCCTTTTTTTATTTTTATCATTGGAAGGTATAATTAAAATTTTTTCCAACGAGTTTATTATTTTTTATGACTGTATCCTATAATTACGATTAATGTTTCATCCACTTTTAAGCCATCGATATCAAGTTGGCAAAGGCTGCGGTATGGTCACTGGCGCCTCGGAAAATTTCTCGAATTCCCTATAACTTCATCTGTGCTTGTGATACATATTACTACGCCTCCAAATCAAAACGCTAGTTTCTCGCTACCCCATGATACTTTATAAAACATCTCCTTGTAAAAGTTGAGAAAACACATGAAGTGAAAATGAACTTGGTGAAACAGTGAACTTGGTGAACCCATGTTGGTGTTACAGGCAATGAGAGGGCCGACATGCTGACCAAAGAGCCTGCTATGGGTAATGCCGGGGATGCGTTCGATATTCGAGCATCAAAAATATTCGTTATTGGTAAAATCAAAGATTTCAATTAGGATTGCTGGAAAGAAAAATGGAACATTTCGGGAAAAAGGAAAGAATATTTGTTGAATTTCGAAGTTTTTAAAAATATGAGAATGATACGTGATTTTGATTACAATTAAATAATTACTGGACACGGGAGCTTCCCGGTGTACCTGAAAAGATTTAATTTACAAAATAATAGTCTTTCCCGTTTTTGTAGTGCTTAAGGCAATGCACGACATTTCGTCGAAGACTGCGTATTACTGAGACATGTTAGGGGAAAACATGGTAACGCAAAGGAATTCTACTGCTGCAATAAAAAGTTTAGATCTGCAAAGGATTTGATGAACTTTATAAATAACAATAGAACAATACTGGGAATTTTGGTTTGACGTTTTTAACTGTATTTTTGTTTGTCTGTGCTGGGTGTGCTGCGTTAACCATGAGGCTGATTATTATGAACCAGGAGGGTTGCAGCACACTCACATATTGCTAGATGTGAGCAAAAGTACGAACGTCATCCAGTTTAGCAAACAAAACAGAAGTGTTTGTGGCCTCAATTTTTGCCGCTCGCTGTTGTGTTTTATTTTCACCTTCATCATCGTATTATTTGCGGAACTTTTATTTCTTGGATTTGGGATTTTCTGAAGCATTCAAATTTCCATACTTTTTTTAGTAAAATCTAATTTATTTTCACATATGGTGGTCACCTTTTGAGAAATCTGTGATCATAAGCATCAGCATTGGACGATTCATCAGGTAGGTCCGAAGCGGGTCAGGTTTGCACTATCTCAAAATAACACATGAGGGTGAACTTCAAGCTTTTAATAGCCTCAGCGTGAGCAGAAATTTGTCCACAGCAGAGTTTACGCTCAGTCAAAAAAGGCTGAAAGCCTTTAATTTGCAAACACATGTTTTGCAGAAAGTGGCAAAATAGAAAAAGGTACGAGAGGAAAAGCTCAGTTAACTGTGTTTTATTGCATGCTGCTTGGCAAAGACGTGAATCGTCCGTTTATCATCAGTTAGAACAGTAGGACTTGCTGTTTCTTCGCCAAATACGCGGCGCAAGTTGCATTTATTTATTATCTGATATAGTAAATATCAGCACCTTCGGTCACCAAGTTCCATACGTTTCAGTTCTAGCATTCGCTAGATTACATTTTACTCCAAGTAAATGATATACTTGAGTTTGCGATAGCAATCCTTGTAGTTACTTTTGTCATTTTTTAGTTCTTACTTAGATTAGCTTTATCCCGTGGTAAGTCAACTTATTTTTGGTTCTTTACTTGTAAAATGTGCTTACTTTCGATATTTGATTGAGTGTTGTAAGATTGAATATTAATGGTCAAGTGACATTCTTTTTCTGGGTTATTTAATGACTTTTATAATTAATTTGCAAGTTTTTATAATGTGTGGTAAAAGGCTTTATTTATTTTATGTAAGTGAAATGTGATTTTAGGCGATGAAAGTGTTATAGTATTCATTTTATTGTAGTATTTTATGCATTACATATAACAGTTTTGAGATAGCTTTGTATTTCTTGTTTCAAGTCCAAAATTCAAAACTGTCGTAGTACACTCAGGTATTCAGTACTTGGGATGTTTCATAACTTTATTACAATTTAAATTGTTTGAACTATTGGATTTTTAGGTCTATGATTTCAGTTTAATGAATAAAGATTAAAAGAGGCACCATTGTGAAATTTTTGGCCACATGGGTAGCATTTAGTCAGAGCACAGTGTTCCTACATTTTATGTGGACGTTGTAACAAAGGATTTATTAATTAGATCATTCTTTAATATAGACTTTTCCAACTGATGCTTTTGTATGAAAAATCGAGAAAATTATAAGACTTAAATCTCTTTCACCTTAATTAAGACACAATAACACGCCGAATAAATACTAATTCAGAAGTCAAACAACAAAAATCAGCGTTAATTTGCAAAATTTTCACAGGACTAGTTTCGATGGTTTTACCGAACCATCATCTTCAGCTGCAAAACCGCAAATGAACAAGATAGGAAATAATGCTTAGATAAGATAAGAAAGCCTGGACAAGAATAAGCAAGTGGCGCCATCTGTTGGCGAAACCAGAACTAAAACATAATTTCTCTAAAAGCCGAAGGCAAATTTGGATTGGAATTAGGATCGTTAACTAGAACAGAAAGATTTTTATGAATGTGAAATGCCTCTAGAAAATCCAGTTCTCAGTATATATATATCTCAGTATATATCAAATATTTAGTTAATAGATTTTCCACTCTATTAGACAATAACATTTACACCATAAAAAATTCAATAGAGTTTGTAAAAAAGGTTAAAAACATTTCTCCTCGTAATTTACTCATGGTTTCTTTTGATGTAAAATCATTATTCACCAATGTCCCAGTGGAGGGTGCATTAAGATGTCTAGAAACCAGACTTCGCGAATTTCATTTCTCTTGCATCGAAATTGATGAGCTAATTTCTCTCACTCAACTCTGTTTGAAACAAACACATTTTGTTTTCCAAAATAAATATTACAAGCAACTGAGGGATTAGCCATGGGAAGCCCCCTCAGTCCCCATCCTGGCTGATATCTACATGCATTATTATGAATCAAAATTGTTGGAAACTTTAAAACTTCCCGGCATGGTTCCGCTACGTAGACGATACTTTTACCCTGTTTGAAGGTAATAAAGATGATTTAAATAGAGTTCTTTCAAACAATGAATTCTATTGATCCTGCTATTCAGTTCACTTTTGAACTTGAGACTTGCAATTCTCTTCCGTTTCTCGACATTTCTGGTCACACGTAACACATCTAAACTTCAGTACTACGGTTTACCGTAAACCTTCATTCGGTTTGCCTTACCACCACAACTTTAAATCATGTCATCCGACTAACAAAAGTTAGCTTCATTTTATTCCTTATGTTTTCCGTGCTCTTCAAGTTTGCTCCTCCAAACTGGCCCTTGATGAAGAACTAAATTATTTAAAAGCAGTTAGCTATTGGACAGGGGCTTTTTGCACCGAACATTATTAATCAAAGCAGTTAGAAAATTCTCATCTCAACACACCAAAAGGCCACACTCTTATTTTAGGAGATTATAAAGGAATTCTGTTGTCATTCCTTTCTTTCCATCAATTAGCTATAAAAGTTGCACATATTTTGCAGAAATTTAACTTTCGGGTTGTTTACTCTCCCATCAATAAAATTCCAACTTCTATACTCAAGGACCCCATTCCGGATATGAATTCCTGGGGTATTTATAGGATTCCTTGCCAGTGCGGTTTAATTTACATTGGCCAAACTAAGAGAGCCTTAAAATTTCGTGTCAAAGAACATGAAGCATATGTTAGAAAAAAGGAAACACAGAAGTCTTCTGTTGCTCAACATTGTTGGTCCGAAAATCACACTTTCAATTTTTCTGCTGCCAAAATTATTCAAAAACTCTTCCATTGGAGAACTGGATTTTCTAGAGGCATTTCACATTCATAAAAATCTTTCTGTTCTAGTTAACGATCTAATTCCAATCCAAATTTGCCTTCGGCTTTTAGAGAAATTATGTTTTAGTTCTGGTTTCGCCAACAGATGGCGCCACTTGCTTATTCTTGTCCAGGCTTTCTTATCTTATCTAAGCATTATTTCCTATCTTGTTCATTTGCGGTTTTGCAGCTGAAGATGATGGTTCGGTAAAACCATCGAAACTAGTCCTGTGAAAATTTTGCAAATTAACGCTGATTTTTGTTGTTTGACTTCTGAATTACTCTTTCACCTTATTTAAAGAAACAGTGGAAAAATTTGTTTAAGCGGTTGTATCGAAATTAAGTTTCGTTACTCTAAAAAAAACTACAATTTTTAGAGTTATGATTTGGAACTTGTTTTTTCCTAATCTAAACAGGATCTTTGCAAAAATGTAACATTCTTGAATTTGCATGCATAAATAATTTAACAAAATTTTATATAATTTGTTCAGTTACGTATTGAAAATGTTAATTCTGGTAGTTTTAGTTGCGTGGCGATGGAATTTTATTTCTCTATTGATTGGGAAATAAATCGTATGGGTTCGTATAAAAATTTACATTTTAAATATTTTTCTTAAAACGGTATGACTAAAATTGTCATTATCTAAATGTGATCTCATGGTTTGGTTTATTGAGATTGTTTCAAAGTACGCTAGGGCTATCTACCTAATAAAGTGATGCCTCCATGGAGGACTTTTTAAGGGAAACTTGCCAACATGCACGATACACATAGGGAAAAACCATGAAAAAACGTTCAGCCAGCTTGTTCACCTGTAATTGAACCCAGGTAACCTGGAATCGAACCCAGGAAAGCCATCTCATGAGTGCAAGATCAGGGTTTTAAGAAACATTTCTCTTACTTAAAACATTAAGTTATCATGGCTCAAATTCTATTATGTAAATGCATTAATAAGCAATTTCACGTATTACTACTAAAAATGTACGCATATTTTTAGTACTAAAGGAAACGGGTTGCCTGGTTTCATGATTCAGTGCAAAAACGAGACACTTGAATCCCCGAATTCCGCGAATATGAAGTAAGATTCGAATCTTCACGATTTTTTCATCATTCGAATCCTAATCTAATAGAACTGCTAAGCGTTTTAGTCTAATCTTTGGAATATGGTAACAGGTAGTTTGGCGACATTTTGGTAAGGCGATAAAGGTTACTAGCTAGGACTTTAGCAGTGTACATGGATAAAGTCAAGAGTGTGCGCAGTGCCATTTTTGTGCAATTCTGGGATATTTTTCTTAAGTGAAAATAGGTCGATGTGTACATGGATACCGTGTATGTGCAATTCTTAAAAGCGCGGCAAGCAGTGGGCGATTCTGCACTTTCTCCCAATTTCGCCCCTAGTCATCGTCATGATTAAGTACTTTTGTTCCATAAAAGTTCTAGCATAAGCGTAATTCGGCTAGGAGATTGTTGGAAAAAAATGTTGAGTTAAAAAAAAAAAAAAAAAAAAAAAAAGCCTTTACTTCGTAAAAACAAAATGGCGTCCCCCCCCCAAAAAAAAAAAAAAAAAAAAAACTAGCAGGTTGCTGTAGCAGGGTTGGTCGCCCAATTTTCGCCAAAAAATCGCCAAGTTACCATAATCCGAAGATTAACCGCGTTTCAATTGAGGAATATGGCAAATGAGTTTTGTTGATATCTGTTTAGAACAGAGCCATAGTAGGGTTTTCAGCGCCCGGGGACAATTGGAGATTTTGCGCTGCTTTCTGTAGGCCAAGAATGGTATACCTTTTATTCTAAATTTTGTAACGTCAATTTGGCGCCCTCTGAATGCTGCCTCCTTGCCCCACCATAGCTACGCCACTGATTTAGAAGTATTTTTTAAATTGCAATAATTGCAATTTTAATGGTATACTTGGACCACGACTATCACGTCACGGCGACCTTGAGCTGACCTGGCATGATAACGCAATGTAATAAAATCCACTGGAATTTTCTAATAAACAGTTCTTTGTTCTTTCACGATAATTCTGGACATAGATAACCTACGCCTAATAAATCGTAAATATTTGAGAACTCATTCTAGGGTACAGAGCAGGGGTTCTCAACCGGTGGTACGCAAGAAAAAAATAGTACGCAAAGTATTTTTTACTATTAAATTCAAAAATTAAAACCCCAACTTCCTGATTGAGTTTTTTTCTCTAACACTCTTAAATTTATGCGATCGGAGCTTTGTTAAAGGGTGGTGGTAGTAGTACTTTGTAGCGGTGATACTAAAGGTTTTCAATTTTTGTTTAGATGGTATGCGTTAGTCGAAAGGCTGAGAACCGCTGGTATAGCGGTGCTTACGATTCCGGCTGTCTATCCGTTGAACTGCTAAGTCACTCACTATTTCATTCTGCACCAAAAATGTTTCTTATCATATTAGGTAGAGAAAATGACTTTTATTACTTAAAAATTTGGTAAAATCCTAGTATATCGTACGGCCTTGGCGCGATTTTGAAAACTGTCGCCAACAGCAAAATACCCCATTTACTGCTCATAATAATGTCGTCAAATACCGTGTGTACCGTATACTAGAATTAAACCAAGAATTTTGTACTTCAGTAGTATTTTGTACAGTAGTAAGTATTTTGTACTTTATGTACGTACTTCAGTAGCTAAACTTAATTTGTAGCTACTTAACATAATATATAGAGTAAGTTTTGAAAATCGTATTTTAAATTAGCTTTTCTTCAAACGCAGATTATTTTTTTACTTTATTTACAAAATTCTAATTAAAAAAAATCAGTTTTCTT